TTCAACTTCATTATCCAGATTTGAATGAGCCCACAGTCTGAATATTGATACCAGAGTCCTTAAAAACAATGGCTTATAAAAATAACTGAAAAAACCCCACCTCATTGGCTTTGCATGTTCTCAGCTAATGGTACAAATCCATCACTCCCATTTATGGTTTTGGAGAATTTCTGCTCTTCATTTTAGAGCTCAATAATAGATTTAATATATATATATATATATATATATTAAATCTATTATATATATATATTAAATATATTATATATATATATATATATATATATCTTACCTGAAAACTACGTGTTTATAGTTGGATTAGAATATGGTTTTCATAATTATTTCTCTTCAGTGGAGACTCACTGGGTATTTTAACCACATTTAAGGGCAGGCCACAAGCCCAGCAATAGATGACCAATACAAAACAAACTCAATGATTCTTTTGTGGTCATTTTGTCTCACACTGCTTTGTTTGGGCATTTCTTTCTTTTTTTTTGTCTTACTAACCTTTTGCTTTTAAATTATGGTTTCTAATTTTCGTTTTTGCGATTTCTTTTTTATGTGTGTTCTTTGTGTTTCTTTTGTTTCTAAAATCTATGTTTTGTTTATTTGCCTGTTTGTTTTTTGAAGAAAGATAGAAAGAAAGAGTATGCCATTGGGTGGGTGAGGAGATTGGGAATATTTTGGAGGAGTTGGGAGAGGGGAACTCATGATCAGAATATGTTGTATGAAAAAATGTATTTCAATAAAAATAAATGTGGTTTTTGTTAGCTCAGTATGATAGAATAAAGCTGTACCATAAAAGGAGAGTTTGCTAAAATTAGGATTAGTAAATAAATTTCAGGTTTTAAATTAGTCTTGGTTAATTGATAGTGGTGGTCTGGAGCACTGGACTATGTTTAACATAAAACTTGGTAAGAAATAGGGGACCTTGAAGAGGGACTCAGTGGCAAAGTATTTGTATAGCATGCCTGGATTTAATCCTGAATCAACACACACACACACACACACACACACACACACACACACACACACACACACACAAAACTCAAAAAATCTGGCAATAATGGGGATGTGGACTATAGAATCTTCATGGGCCTTTGAGGTGGTAATTGTAATAACTTCTAAGTCTTTTACAATGCTAAAACTCTATAATATACCACTGTGGCTATCTTATGAAAGCCAATAACATGTAGCTATTTTAGAACAATAGATTTTTCAATTAGTAGAGAATCACATGGAGTGATAGTTTGTGTACAGCAACATACACTCTTAATTTTTTTCACACTGAGTGGAGATAATTTGCATCTCTGTTTTCAATAAATAATTTATTTGATAAGAACTTTTCTTCTCTATGGTCACACAAAATATTTGCATCTCATTTATTCAACTTATTGTTATTTATAAAATTGTATTTTATGTCTTTCGTCTTTTCTTTGTTAATATTTTACTTATCACTCTCTTTGAAATAAAAGATTGGTCTATTGTGTTTCTAAGAGTAGACAGACAGTACATTAGGACTGTTTAGACTCCTGGGAGTGGTGAGGAATGTCAGTTAGCTGATATATATCGTCAATGATCATCTCAGCTCTGCAAGAGGTAGCTATACACACTGCACAGGCTCACATCCTCTGCCCTGGTCATGCTTCTGGCTGGATACCCAGCCATAGTAATTGCTGTAAACTCAGGCTGACGTGAATCTCCTCAGGAGGTACTTTGCCATATTGCTGGCATTTTCAGCTACAAGAGGTGATGTGGGCGGTTAGTAGTGAGCATTAGTAATGTAGAGAGCTTGCCGTTGGTCCCTGAGAGTCCAGTGGTAGTTATTTTCTCTCTCAATGCTGATCTTATCGATACCTGTCTCCTACTTTGGATTTAGACAAAAACTCTGCTTTGTTTGTCCTTTCTGCCCCAGTTTCTAGGAAAGTCACTGCAGTGGCCAATTTGTCTTTCTTCTTGTGCTGCAAACCTTTAAGATTCCAAGTTAATTTTGATTGTGAGCCTTGCCTTAATCACCTCTCAGCCCTGTCTCTGTGAAACCCCTCCCCTCAAAGCTCTGGGATCTGCATGGAAGTAGAGGGGGAAAGATTTTCAGAGCCGGATGTGGTGGATGACTCCAAGGAAGCAGAGACTTTCAGACACAACAGGGCAGATATACACATGAACTCACAGAGACTGTGAAAGTGCACACAAGACCTGCGCAATTTCAAGCTTAAAAAACATCCCAGTGCTGAGAAGGGAAAGTACACACAAATTCTGACACCCTCCCAAGAAGCAATTTACAATCCAGACCTACTGGGAAAGGGAAAATCAGTTTCCTCCAATGGAGTGCCACTGGTTGGTTCTAACAAGCACACCCCAGGGCACATCCTAGGTCCAGCAGTAGTCGGCCAACACAGAACAGACTCCATGCTTTTGTGTCCTTTTTGTTTTCTTTCTTTGCTTTTTTTTCAAGTTTGTTTCAATTTTCTTTTCTTTCTTTCCTTTTTTTGAGAGAGAAAAAGAGAGAACATGAAATTGGGTAGAAAGAGAGGTGAGGAGGATCTGGGAGTAGTTGATAGATAGGCAAGAATGTGATAAAAATAGATCATATGAAAATTTTTTAATTAAAAAAATAAACTTTTAAAAAAGTTTTCTAAGTATGGTGGAAATGTGAGTTGAAAGACCACCTCTTACAAATTGTCTTCAGGATCAGGTGGGCGTTGCTATTATGTATTTCACACTTTATAATACATGCCTTCTTTCCCTCTCCAAGGGAAACAATCTTTGTTCTTCTCCAGCTAAATAATACCATCTGAGAAACTTTACTGTCATAATACCAATGTTGTAACAAGGTCATTTGAGATTGTCTCTGTACGAGTATTTAGTAGTAAAATAAACTAAATTATCCCAAGCTTATATATTCTCAAATATGAGGAAAAAATAATGATCAACGACATATTGACATATTGCTTTGCCCCTATCTTTTAAAAATTCATGAAATTGAGTTGACTTTTCAACAAAGGTGGAGAATATGCTTTGATTTTTCCTGTATAATATTTTTACCTTTTCAAATATTACTGTTTACACTTTTTTCTAAATATAAAAAGTGAAAAATTGTCTTTTGTCTAGGAAATAAAGTAATACTTATTGTTTTTCTGTGTAAGAAAAAACTAATTCTATGAAGGCATTTTGCCTGTAAGCACAACAGCATATTCGTATGCTGAGCTCTAACGCACAGTGTGTGTTTGGAGGCGGGGCTTTGAAAGGGAATTACACTTAGATGTGTTCTGACAGGAGAGCTTCCATGTCAAGAGCAGCTCCCTTAAAAAGCAGGAAGAGAGCAGAGCCCACTCAGCCTGATGACATTTCACCACGCAGCGAAAGGCAGCCATCTGTTAGCCAGAGGAATCTTCTCCAGACTCGAAATGTTCCAGTTTTAGATTCTGGACCTTCCCAGCATTCAGAAATATGAGAAATGAATGTGGTTCAAAGATGTATTTTGTTCTAGTAATCCAAATTAGACAATAAGTAAAACCTAAGAAATTTAAACATGTGTTTTAGCGTTTACACAAGGAATTATATAATCCCTTTAAATATATCCCATAAGTAAAAAACCGAAATTAAGACCTTATGATATCTTTCAGATGCCAGCTTTCTTTGCTCTGCTAAATATCTTTTTTTTTTCTTTTAAAAAGTCACCAGACTCCCATGGTTTCCTTTGGTGCCTTTTACACACATGAATTACTCAGACAACTGTTGCAAATGAATCAGAAGCAACTTCCTGTCTCTCTGTTCATTTCTGAATAATCGTGTACAAGTACCAGGAAGAAGGGCGTGGCACAAGACAGCCCATACATACTGACATCCTGCATTTCAATAGGGGTAATAACACAGCCTTTCCTTTTCCTTTGGGTTAAGATTTATCACTTGCATACCATCATCATGCATCATATTGTCAATATGGATTAGACACGGAAAAAAGCAGTAGTTGCTATGGCAAACCTCTTCCTCTGAAGGGTTATATATTTCTCATGGCTTGATGGAAAAGAGGAGATGATAGGGGTGGGAGTGGGAAGAGAGTTGTAATTCTTCCTAGTGTTGTCTCCTGGTTTAGTCCAAATTCAAGACTGGTTGTGCTGTATTGGGAAACCGTGTCTCCTTTTTCATTCAGGTGTGTGCTCACTAGCTTTTAGTTTCATCAGACACAGATAAGGTTAGTGGCCTGTAGGCAAGACTGTAACAACTCTTATTTGTAGCCATTACTAATTTCTGTAATGCTTCCATGGGGGCTGAATTCAAGCTACCAATTTGATTCTACTAAATGGGGAGTTTAGGAGAGAGAGACAAAATCAGATTTTACTTGCTGGTAAGGGCTGGTTCTAGCCAACTCAGAACATAAAAGCTTTTTACATGGAAAGGATTTTGTATAACTTATTTGCATAACTATATATACCACAGTTTTTATGTATGATAAAGTTGCTATATGATGCTTTGTAAAAATGGGACACTTACCATCTTAAGCTTTCTGTATCCAAAAGCGATGACCATTTTTTGTAACAGTCATAAAATATCATGCAGACTGTTATGATCTGGATGTCAGTTGCTCCCCTCAAGAACTTGTAAGTTGAAGGCTTGCTCTTTAGCTGGTGGCATCATTGGGCAGTAACTAGATGGCCAAGACATTAGCTACATCAACAGGTTAATGGATTGAAGAGTTCATTCTGAATGTGCTGGTAGGATACTGGTTGGAGATGGAGGTTGTAGATGAGTGGGAGAGTGTCTCTGAAGGGAATGACTAGCTCCTTCCTTTCTTTCTGGCTCCTCCCAACCATGAGCCATTTTCCATCCACCATCCACTTTTGATGCCATGATGATATTCTGCCTGCCTCACTTTAGGTCCATGGCAATACAGTCAGCTTACTGTGAACCAAACCATTAAAATTATAAGCCCAAATAAATCCTTCCTCTTTGAAGTTGATTTTTCTCAGGTATTACAACAAAGTAATATTCCAAGCCTATTATTAGTATTCAGATATTTTTTAATATGAGATCTTTAACAAAACCTTCAAAAAATAACAAAAAAATGTGTTTCACTTTTCTTACTTTCCATGTTTCTATTATGCACAGCAGCTTCTACAATTCACTAATAATTCACAGTCAGATTGTTTCTATTCTTTTTCACAGCAATGTCTCCAACTCACTGATAACTCCCAATCTTAGACTAAACATCTGTAGAATCAGTCAAACAAATCTTCAAAGGACTTGAAATAATAATATTTTTAAATAATTAATTGTCATCAGTAGATTTTCCCTGCTATATGGGGTTCCACTTTGAAGATGTACTTTGTGCAAGGACCTAAATAATATTTCTTATGTTCTTGTTGCTATTCAAGATTGGGTGGCACAGAAGCGCACAAGGCAGGTACCACTCTCTATCCTACCACGGCTTGTGTTTGGGAACAGGGAACAACAGGCAGAGTACACAGTATGATAATAGAGACTGTGGCTGAGGATATAAAAGAACTTAAGAAGGAGAAATTAGAAACGTGGAAATAACATTTTAGGTGAATGGACAGAGACGCTGCCACCACAGGGAAGAACGCACTTCCTGGGTCTTGATCTCTGCCTTGTCTTAGTCTATGAAGAAGTCTACTGACCAACCCACATACCCAAAGCTAGTTCTGTGAAACAGACCATTTCTAAAGCTCTTGAATCGGCATGCCTTTAGTCTGAGGCTACAGATGAAAGAAGACACATTAATGATGCATTTGAGAGATAGTGTGGAGGGGACAGTCTATAATGAGGTGGGAGAGAAGTTTTCTTTGTCTTCTCGAGAAAGGCCCAGGGACAAGCAGGTCAGCGGTAACAAAAGGGAGAAGCACGCCCATATTTTTCCTTTGGATCTTTCTTCTTTGCTTATTAGAAAAAAATGAAAAGGCTAAATAGGTTTGAGATTCCATGTAAAGATTTTAAGATAACGCATTGGGAATTGTTCTTAAAGCTGGGACACATTACTGAAAATTGTGACATACTCACTCCATTTTCTAACTAAAGAAATTCTAGAGGTTTCCAGAAAACTGCTATGAATTATCAAGAGAGTTGAGGAAGGATATAAATATATAAAAAGTAGAGAAATGGCTACAAATTTGGGGAAATATTTTGGTAAAATGCAATGTTGACAACCTCTCAAAACCTATCACATATTTTTTAAATGATTAAAATAAAACACTATATTTGTAAAGCTTTACTTTGCAATAATATAGAACATGCCACGAGTAGGTAAAATACATATCTCAATGACTGGAAATTCTACATTTGATTTGCACAGAGAAGCAAATATGGAGATGGGGATGAGCCAGGGATTTGGTGAGATTCAAAACAGGTCCAGGCATCCATTTTATGTTGGTGATTCCATACCTGGGAATCCCAGCTGACTTCAGGATGTACATTTAGATAGCTAAAGAATGGACAAACGTCATTTGAATGATTCACAAGGAGTTAAAGCTCACCTCATATGCTGTGTATAGACACTCTCCAAATGGGTAATCACTGAGAGAGAATATTTTATCTAAATACACAAATGCCTCTCTTTCACTTTGAGGAGCTCTTTGACAGAGTGGCTGCTTTCACGTGAGACTCTTGCTTATGACCTTTGCAGAACACAATATTCTACTTTTATTTTCTCCTCACAAATTTAATATGAAAGTGTGTTTAAAAAATTACTTAAGCTCTATCTTCTTCTCATTACAATGGCTACTAAAATAAATCACTACAAATATTTCTTGGTTTTGCATTTTTAAAATACCATGAAACCTTAGGAACTGTGCATGTGGTAATAGAAGAAAAGTCCATAAAAAGGAAAAATTAGGTACATAGAAATTTGGGGAGATACACTGAAAGTACTTAGATAATTAACATTAGGTAGTTTTGAATTATTGACATCAATAATCATACAACTTATGCTTCTCTCTAATGGTTAGAACATCACCAATCATGTGTTGCTTTAAATAACGAGAAAAACTGAAATAACTTCTAAGAGATCCCATCTTGTCAAACCTGCTGCAATTTCTCCTTATGAAAGAAAACCTCAGACATTTATTCTCCATAAAATAAGTAAAGAAATAAATAGCCCTCTAATTGGTAGAGACTCTTGGGGTGGGCATATAAAGTTCATTAGTGTTCAGACATTTAATAAGCAAATGTCTGCTCGGCAATACCACATGGCTTCAGTTCCTATTGAGCACAGTTCTCTTTTCAAACCGTTGATGTGAAATGATTCCATTGACACCAGCTTTTGAAGAAAGCCTTTAGTTGAAGGGAACTATGTCCAACATTTATCTCTATTGGTGGATTTTTTTCATCTTATTTATTCTTCTTTTATTTTGTATGTGAGAAGGAGAAAACAAAGTCAGATCAAACACATCTATGGAACAAAGCTCCAGGACTCACACAAGTGTGCTTGGAATGGGAAGATTTGGCCCCAGTGTGCTCTGAAAGGCTCTGATGAATTTTCCCATACCCTATGCACAGGCAGAAGAGTGGGTGCTGCTGCTTTCAGAGCATGATGTCTAAGGAAGGCGTTTCTTGCTTCACCTCCAGTGTCCATGCTTTTCTGGGCATGCCCCTTAAGCTTCCTTTTCTCTGTCAGTTTCTTTCCCTGTGAAAACAGAAGGTAAGTTTTGGAGTGGATGTACTGAAGTGTCACTTAGCTCTGGGGACAGAGCAGTAACTTTCTGATTTAGAGAGTTTTTGAAAAAGTCTGCTTCTAAATTGCTTGGGCTGACTATTTTGATTTCAAGCGATGTCATGATATCAGTTGAGTAAAGACAGCTAGAGATGGCCTTCTGGGTGTTGCATGGCTCTCTTCCCTTTGAAGTCAATGCTGACTACATAGCTACCCTTCTTGGTCCCTTAATCAGTGTCCAATAGCCCCAGGATGGAGCCCAGTCCAAGCCATGGGCAGCACCCCTTTGTCCCTCTCACACGGATGGGACATGATTCCACAGGATTAGCCAACAATTATATGCTCTGAACTGATCAATTCAGTCAATTTACTGTGCAAAGTAAATTGATCCTTCAGAACAAAGGGTTCTGTCAGCGGGGAGCTACCTGAGAAAGCAGCATGCCTGTGTAAACAGTTCTGTCCTTCTCCCAGTGTGGAGTGGCCCCACGCCATATGGTGCCACTATGAACTTATTAGCTGACGGATTAACTGATCTCTGCATTTGGGATCCCCAGTTTCCAGCTGTGAGAATGATTGATGGGCTAACTACTGCTCCAGTCTTGGAAGTTATTTCCTCCATTTAACAGAGTCAAGAAGACAGAAAATTGCCCCCTTTGTAAATGCTAATCTCACCACTCCTTCGAACACCCAACATAGCAATTTATTCAAGGCAAAGTCTTAAAATTGGTATAGTGCACATCAAATGCATACTAATTAGCAATTTCTTTTGAAGGCTCCATCACTTATTAAGGGTCTCCTTTTCCATATGTTCATCATGCCCCACTTCACCCTTTAATTACAAAACAGCACTTTCAACTAATTGCGAGAAGGTATATTGTGCCTGGAATCTGTATTAAACACTATACCTTCTGATGCCTAATTTAGGGTCACATCGAAGGCAGACAGATAAGCGGGTAGAAATGCTCACAACTGTCATCTGCAATTTTAGGCATATTTGGGTGTTGTCAGGATGAACGTTTTATCTACAGTGGTGGCTAGGACACTCTTCAGTGGACACTGGGCAGGAAGGATGCAGTGAATATTAGGTTAAAAACTGGGATCCTTTCTAGATCACCAAGAACCTACTTTAATCCAACAGAAGCATGATAATATTACATTTGTAACTTTGCAATTTCTTCAATCACAAATGTTAAAAGAAACCACACAATTTTACAAGTCTGATTACCAGCAACTTAAGTGTGTATTAGAATTGCACTACCGAAGGGAAAAATTTTGCAAAATATACTTGAAGGATGTGTCAAAAAAAAAAAGGTTTTCTGTCTTGTGTAATGCTGGTGGTTTTTCTTTACTTGAAGGATGTATAAAAAAAGTGTTTTCTGTCTTGTGTAATACTGATGGTTTTTCTTTATTGAAACAAGATTCCTTAAGCTATTTAAATAATTCTAATCGTTTTGGCAATTACTTGTCTACTACATACAGTCTGTCGATTTCAGCTTCATTTTAACGCTGAATGATAAAGAATGGGCCATATATTTCTCAGGCTCTCTTTACCCACAGAACTCTGTAGAGGATTTACTAATATTCTTCCTTCTCAATGCTGGTTCTGTAGGTACTGGTGGAAGTTTAGGCCTCAAGTATACTCAGGCTGCAAAATGATGACAGAATCAAATAAACCTCTTGATTTATGGTGGACAAAGAGCAGGTGAAGTGTGACCTACGCTTCAAGAGAAGTTCATTTTTCATAAGCGCTGTGAACTAGATGTCACCGGACATGCCAGGAAACCAATCCAAGCCATCCATTCATGGGTAAGATCATTTTGAGTTAGTTTTCAAAACCATTCCGAAACCGGCACTAATAGATGGGTGACATGAAAAGAATTTAAATGGCAAAATATTCCCATTATTTACGGAAAGGGATTTTACGGACTCATGAACAGATTTGGGCTCTTTGCTGCCTCCAGCAGCATGACTTTGTCGAATCTGAATCTCATCTCTATATAAAGGTCATTAATGCTTAGTGCTAATATTTCAGTTTCAAAGTAATCAAGTTTGGAGTCTTAACTTCAAATTATATTTCCAACTGATGCTGACCTAGAATTCATTTGTTGGCTTTTTGAGGCTGTAATTTGAGATTGATTTGCTTCTGAATCTCGGGTACTCATGATAGAACTCAGAACACTCTGTGAGTTTGGGTTAAATCTGACTTGCTGCTGTGAGTATGCTAGGAGCAGAATTGAGGCCCCCTTCCTTCACTTATGGACGATATTGAGTTTATCAACTGTCAGCACTACACTCTTCATTTGCATTCTTCTTTTTCCCCGATAGAACATTAAAAAAACCCTGTCCTTAATATTTTTGTAGAAATTAAAAATATAAACCTAACATTCATGTAAAAGCACAGAAGACTACAAATAGCAAAGTAATTCTGAAGCTGGAAATACCACAGTGCCAGAATTTAAAACATATTGCAGAGCTACAGCAATTCAAACAGCTTGTTACTTGTCATAAAAATTAACATGGTCAATGGAATCAAATGAACACTCAGAAATAAAGCTATGCACTTATAGCTAGTGGATTTTCAACAAAAGGATAACATATATTGGAGAAAGGGTGATATCTTCAATGACTGGTGCTTAGAAAATTGACATTCATGTGCAGACAATGGAAATTTGATCACTATCTTTTACTCTGTTTAACAATAAACTAAAAACAGATGAATAACCTCTCTAAAAGACCAGAAAGTCTGAAATGTTGAAAGAGAACATAGCAGGGCACTCCAGGGTATTGGCCGTTTTATTGTCACCCCAGAAAGTACAAGAAACCAGAGCTATATTTGCAGAAGTGATGATATCAAACTAAAACTCTTATTTACTGAAACAACAGAGGCAACAGCCCAAAGAATGAGGGAAAGGTGCAAACTATACACCTGACAAAGTTTATAACCAGAGTAGGTGGAGAATTCAAAAAATTAAAAAACAAAAATCTAACCTAAATTTAAAAATAGGCAAATGATCTAACTAGACACTACACTACACTACACACCACACACACACACACACACACACACACACACACACACACACACATACACACACACACACACACACACACGAACCACAAATGGCCAATGAGCACATGACGAGTGCCCGGCATCGCACTTCACTGGAAAGATACCAATCAGAATGAGACACTACCTCA